AACGTAAACGTAAACGAACGAACGTAACTAAGTAACGTACGTAACGTACTAGACGAGACGAGTAGAAGTAAGTACGACGACGACGAGAGGAGAGAGAGAGAGAGAGAGAGAGAGAGAGAGAGAGAGAGAGAGAGAGAGAGAGAGAGAGAGGGAGGGGAGAGAGATTTTTCACTTAAAAACAGGGCATTTGCATAACCTATAAAAATCCAGTTAGAGCTAATTTTTCTAAACCGATGACAGTTCTGTGAAGCTTTGAAAATCAATTCCTCCAAGGTCAACTAACATATTCAAAGTGGTGGGCTTTTAGAATTTCCACGAAGTTCAAAACATACCTGATCTGGCCTAAGATCGAAGGCCTTATTTCCAATGATGAAGGAGACATTCGGCATGCCAGAAATATTGTTGCAGTCAACAGCGGATTCTCCCATGGGACTCGGTAGTCGTTCACAGAGCTGTAATGCAATGAAGTTAACACAATTGTTCAGTATAATAAATTAATAATGCAGTTCATGGGTATAAAAGAATACCAGAAATAAAAAAGAGGAAAAAAAGAATAAAGGGAAAGCGTAGTCCGATGAACCATGGAAGACCATAATCCATTTGGGATATTACCATCAGATGAATGTAGAGGCAGTGATTGGAAAACAATAAGAGTGGGACTAAACAGAACAGGACATAATCCCAATAGTGGGTATCTCTCTCCATCACTAATTCACTATCCATCATAACCTTGGATGGTGATGACCAAATGGACCGTGATTTTTTCATTGTCTAATATAGTAAACCTTTCCAAGAAAGATCTATAGTTCCATAACTTCAAATTAAGATGGTGGCAATATTGAAAAAGATAACCTGATTAGCATATTCCAAGATTTGAGTCTTTGTCTCATTCCTCTTAATCTGATTTTGAATCCAAACAACGGCCATCTCACAAGCAGTGCACATAGCACTATCACCAACAGATGCCTTGCTCCCATCTTCCTTATCAACCACACTTGCAATGCCTGAACTGCATATATTGACGTTTAAATTTAGTGAATTACAAAGTAGCTAGACAAGCAACTCAGAAAATGACTACCAAGGATAGAAAATGACTACCAAGGATAGAAGGGTCAATGTCCAAAATAAGAAAGCTAGTTTTCTTTAGAAAGAAAGAAGATGAACCTCAGCTTGCATTTCTGTGCTTGTCTGCGTAGAACCATATATGACCAAAAAAGGTATAAAATAAGGACCCGCATGATGGCAAAATGATTTCCTTACCTAACATCTCGGTTCCCATCAAAGACACAGAGACCAATCTGGGAGCAGATTTTCTGAGGTTGTGTCTGCATACAGTTTGGAAACCATATAGATTCAGATGCAACAAGTTATGTACTCATCTCAAAGAGAGGAAGACCCCAAAGTGTATGCACAAATGAGCGTGAATTTTATTTTATTTTTTGCTGCTTTTTTTTTTGGGGGGAAGGGGGGGGGGGGAGGAGGGGTGGGGGGAGATGATGATACAGACCTCTGATAACAACAATTCCAGTATCATTTCTCCATATTGAGAGACCACTAATTTGCATTGCTGGCTTACAATTCCTTCTGCACCTATTGCATGGTTGATTTCTGCAACAATGGTCTGTATACAAAAAGTTGCAATCAGAGTGGACCAATAGCATAGAACATATGGAAGTATAACCAGTTTGTAGTAGCATGAATCCATGAGGAACGTTATATAAGCACGAAATTTTCTTTCGTTTGTGATGTGTAAAATGGAAAAGGTAATTAACCGGAGAAAATTACAATATACAATAAATTAATTAAAGAAACTATGTAACAGAGAAATGAAGTGTGCCTTTCCAAAAAAGTCCAAAGAAGAAAATAAAGAAATGAGAGATAGAGAAAGAGAGGGTGATAAATGTGGAAGAGAGTAAATGTTTTAAGATTAAAACAGTATACCATTGCTTCAGCAAAAGTACATAAAAGATTAAGTAGACATGCATGAGAGACGATAATATTCATCTGTCAAAATAATGAATAAGCTTTCTTTTCTAAAACCCTAAATAAGAAACATAAATCTGATTTATTTTGTATGAAATAAATTGGACATTTACGTCTACTGGGGAATAACCAGAAGCTTTAACAGACCTTAAGACTAACAGAATTCATAATTGACAGTGATTCATACTTATCTCATAAAATAGTCAAAATTGAAAAGCATCGCCAACAATGAAGACTTATGTCACAGTAGACATGAAAAAAACGACTGTGGATAAGGATTTCAATAATATATACTTGAATGCCTAGGATTTGGTGCTATAACAATTTTTCTAAGCTTGAAGGACATTAAAGTAGGTAATTCATGAATTAGAAAAGATATTGGAAACTAGAACCAGAAATTCCCTTCCAGAAGGACCCAAATAAGAGTGAAACAAAAAGTCATCTTACTGCCCTAAACCATTTCCAGTATCTTATCCAAAGTAGTTTTCAAAGGAACTGCATAATACTATGAAAATTGGCCCTGGCATTATTTTTTAATATAATTTAGAAGCAGCCCTACATTTGCTCACAGAACAGTGAACTTATCTAATTTACAAGAGCAGCATTACTACTTCCCAAGAAGGTAAAATCATTGCAAGTTTACAAAAACTATGTATCCCTTTCAGAAGCCAAATTGTACTAAAAGGATCAAGGACATACAGTAGGGCCAGTAAGTAGAGAAGTCCCAGAATCAGCAATGGCAGCACAACCATCAGCACAGAAACCTGAATAAAACAAAGGTTTAATTCCATGAATTATGCGCATAACAGGGAGAAAAGAGAGGACAAAGAAGGACAAAGAAGGGGGGGGGGGAGCGAGATGCCGTGAAACTAAGTCGAACTCACCAGTTGATTGGCCATCAATGAGAACATCCCCCATGTCAAACTGAATAAATAAAAACACTTGATGAACAGAATAATAGCAGAAGATTAATGCTTTTGTTACATATTAAAAGCACAAGCATTCAAGCTGTTGTACCTGCCAGTAGCCCTTCCGAGTGACTGGGACAAAAGTATGCTCACCCTTGAAGTGATTAGGATCAACACCTCCGAAGACAATCTCCCCACCCTCAGAATCATCTTCATTGCGGTTGAACCAAAACGAGAAAACAGGCTCGCTTACAAGACCTTGATCAACCATGTTGTACCTGTAGGGAAGTTCACCCACTATCTTAGGAATAAAAACATCTGCACTTGTTGCATACCCCAAAAAATCTTCAACAAAACCAAGCTAGTCAATCTAAAGAGCCCATCAGAGATCATAAGCAGCACAAAGCATTTGTCAAGCTATATTTTTTTCTTTCTTTTTGATGATCTACACCATAATTATAAAAGGAAGACATACCAAACAGGTGAAACATCCCCAACAGCTATTTCCTTAAAGCCAAGTCCTAATATGCCGTCAAACTTTGAAATGAGAAATGTCAAGCTCGGCTCTCGAGTAGCCTCAATGAAAGCCTAATAATGAACATAGAATATATGCATTAAAGCAAGTTCATTTAAACCAAGTTATCAAGCACCAGAAAAACCAGAAAACTCAGAATCACCATAATGTTCAATAAAATTAAAAACAATGGAAATAACACCATAGGGTAATAGGACTATGGTATATAATATCAAGGCTAGATCCACTATATGTTCTCACTGACAGATGGTATTAACCACACCTAAGCGAATGCCCATGTGGGCTCCACTCCAGTCAAGATTCAAGCATCCATTAGTAGAAACTGATGACGGAAGTAGGAGTACCATATATCAAAGTCTATTGGACTACAGTGTATTTTCCTACGAGCGAAGAAACAGACAGAATAAGAACTACCTGATCTTTGACAACGAGGTCTCCAACTTCCACATTATCTTGGCTCAGAAATCCAGAAATAGATCCTGTTCCGTAGTGGATTTCACATGAATTCCCTAAACAGTTAAGAATCGAAATGGTTAACTAAAATAATACTGAAGGCATTTAGAAGTTTGGAACTTGAAATATCAATACTAGTATGAAGCAGAATCATTAACTATTAAAGCATTTAGAATTCAAGTTTGAACTTGCATGCATCGAGGAACCATTAAATATTTGAATTAGACTTCCGTAGTCAATTCTAGGAGCACATATCAAAAGAGATTTGAGAAGGAGCCATATACCAATTTTTGTGTAAGTGCTAGACTTGGAAGCCTTGTACTTGGAGTGGAAATAGCAAGGGAGCTGCAATTTAAAAAACAGGCCACCACTGAATTCCATGACTATAAATAATCAGCCAATTCATAAAATATCCTCACTTTCACTAAAAGCAAACTACAAGAAACAAAAACTCTCAAAAAATGAATTTCCTTTAATCTTATGGGTTGATAAGATGCCATGAAAACTACATGAACCAGAAAGGTATGAGAAATTTAAATATGCTGCGATTTAAGAAACTTACAGAGAAATAGCACTTTGATGAGGGCACCCAAAGATTAGAACTGCCGGTATCGAATACAACAGTGAAAGTCTGGGACGGTGAGCCAATGCCGATCTCTCCATAGTATTGCGCATCCAAATAGTTTTTTAAAGACACAATGTCGACATCTGAATCACCCAATTTCCTAAGGATCTCATAGTTCCTAACATTCCTAGGAGGATTTCCTTTTGCCACAATTTTCCTGGCAGTGAGAGTCTGAAGATCGAAGCCCTTCTTCTTTAACCCAATTCTCACTAAACGGTCATTATGTGCATGGGCTCCTATGGAGAATAGAAGGCCCCAAAGTAATACACAAGCTAATAAGACTGATTTACCACCCATCTTCACTGGCCTTACCTGTGTAAGGAGAGAGAGAGAGAGAGAGAGAGAGAGAGAGAGAGATCACAAGCTATAACCAGTCAATCCAAACTCAGCGAGTCTCACTAGGATTCGCCCAAGTTACTCAAATTCTCAGACAAGGCCGCTTAACAAGTCTGGGGCCAAAATTTAAACATGGTTCTTCTCATATATTTCATATTTTTCACTCAAGGTCCCACTTTATCTATTTTTCTATACACCATATTAAGCTCAAATTTGGTATATCAATACTTCTCATCATATAGTCCAAAAAAAATAAACAAATAATCCAAATATAAGAAATAACCAAAATGTCCCTACAGGTATGTGATGGTGCAAAACAAGACTATACCAAATTTGAGCTTAATCCGATGTATAAAAAAAAGATATAATTGAAATAAATTATATGCATTTAGAAGTGGGACATGATTCTAAAAGTAAAACATGGTCTTTCCATAAATTTCCCTTTTCTTCAATTAGGATTCAGCATCGACCAAGCTTCCTGATTCAGGCTTGGGAACCTAGTGAGTCCCTATGAGTCCTTGCTTTAAACCAATGGTTTCGAAAAAATAAAACCTTGGCATAGCTTTGAACAAAAAAACTAGACATGGGTTTCACCAAAATATCAAAGCTAATTTTGGTTTGATTGAATACTATTGCCGCACTGACATACTAAAAGAACCATGGAAAACCAAAAAAAAAGTAAAATCCAAAAACAATGCAGAGTTATCCCACAACAGCAACATATAAACAAATACAACTGATAATCTTTGCAAACTTGACTAACCAATACATCAGTTTGATGATCAACTCCTGCACCACTAAACAACTGGTAAATACCCCAAAAACTAAAAATTAGCCCAAAAACAGCAGCTAACTATAAACCCCAATAGTTACACCATGCATAAACCCTACTTAATACATACTAGTTGCACAAAACCAAATACAAAATTGGCCCAAAAAATTGAAGGGATTAAAAAAATCAGAAGGAAGGAATAAATAAAAATATCTACAGGGGATCCAATTTTAAAAGGGGAAATACAAAATGAAATACCACCGGACAGTGGATGCACAAAAACCCCAGAAACCCATCTTATAATCGAGTGAAATGAATCAACAGAAATAAAATAAAATACAATAATCTGAGACATGCCTGACCTAGGGAAAACTCAAATTATTTGCACAGTTATCTAAGTAAAAATATAACAAAAAATAATATATAATTGCATAAAAAGTTTTAGTTGGGTGTAATTGAAGATTCAAGGACGCAAACAATTGCAGAAATGAATTCAATAACTGCAACCACAAAAGATCGAAACAAGTAAACAAAAAACTTATAACAATCCAATCAAACATGAAAACCATCAGGTGAACAAAACCTGATCGATAAACATCAATTTGGGAGTACAGACTATAAATTACATAGTATAAATCCAAAAACTTTACAGAGTGTAAATCAGAATTCCTATAAACTACAGTTATAGAAACAAGTAAAATTTCAGTTAAGCCAGTGAAAAAGAGAAGAAACCCTCACCTTATGGAACTGGATAAGTGCAAACCTAGAAGTTCGGAATGTCCGAAAGACTGGTATTTATAGGGAGACATATTCATGGTCAAATGGGAAAATAAGAACGTTTGTGGGGATGATTATTTACCGTGAAAAACCAAAAAAAGGTGCGAAAATACCTACGTGACGACGAAAATATATTTGATGTTTTAAAGTACCCAATATACCCCTACCTGGTTAGCTCGGAAGGCGCTAGAACTACGAGTGCGGTTTAGGACCGCGCAGGTGTTTATTTTTTTTATTTATTTAACGTAGAGGAAAAAGTTTATATAGGGTTACAACCTCACCTCTATAGCTACGGATCCACCTAAAAAATCTATCGAAAAATGTAGTTTTAATGTAGACTTTTGATTGATCATCTCGATGACCACGAAAAATAAAAATATTTTAAATCTAAAAAATAGTATATTTTACAACATATTCTCTGCACCGTCTATTTTAAAGATTTTCATATGTTTATAGATTTACTTGATTTTAACCATTTTTGAAATTTAAAATTTTATAATTAGATATAAAAATAGATTTTGAGGTAATCCTAATAACAATTTACATCAAAATTATATACATGATAAAATTTGAAGGTGCATCTTACCCCTTACAGTTGCACCCTTTATTGAATCAAAAGAGAGTTACAGGGATTTTCAATAAATCGGCTTACTTTAAAATCGAGAAAAAATCATTTTTATTTCAAATGAAAAAATCGGATACAAAATATGGATCGGCAAAAATACTTCATGTAAAGATATCGCCAATACATCAGACTAGGCTAAAAAATTCGGAAAATATATGTATAATTTGTATTATAGTTTTCTACCATAGTAGCATAATAATAATCCCAATAACATAAAATAGAACGGTAGCTTAACAATCCCAATAATGTTTTCGTGTACAAGTACACCCTGATCCTTAGAGTATATAATTTTTGTTGTCCTCATTTCTGTGAAACGAGTAATATAAAAAGCTCCTGCCGTCTCATACAATGTATTAAATAAGCTTAAAACAGGGCTCGAGTAAGGAAACCATTGGACTTCGTTGCTCTGTATCGAGGGAGAGAAAGAAACCTTAACCAGGATGGAGCAAATTTTGGGATCACTGTTTTTATAGAGAAAAATAAATCTTGAGCTTGAATAAGATTTGGAAAGGCAATAAGAGATGGTGGACCTTATTTTAGAGATTTTAAAGAGAGAAAGAAACCCTAATCAATGCTATGCTTGTAGTGATTTGGGTATTTTTTAGGTTAGGGCAAGATTTGAAAAGACAAGAAGAGATGGTGGAGCTGATTTTAGAGAGACAAAAAGAATAGATGATTTTTTTCTTTTTGTAATATGTAATTTTTCTTCTTAAAATAAAACCATTTTTTTCGTTTTTTTGATAGGTGCTTGATAAACCATCAAACTGAGTAGACTCAAAAGGGCTAGTAGCATTTGATGTATGCAAACAAACATTACAAGAAATTAAACTGCAAATTTAAGCTCAGTGTTTACAATTACGAAAACAACACCGTCTCCCCCATCCCTCCCATGAAACTAGAGCTTTAGAATATCTAAGCTTTATGCTTCTCATGAACGTTCTTTTTATAATTATTATCTCATTTGGATCAAAATTTAGAAGAAAATAATATGCATCCATAGACGCTCTATGAATCAATCGGCTGCATAAGTACCTCTCCCAAAGGTTAAAAAATAAGATAAGTTTTTCACAGAGGTTCTAGAGAGAGAAACATGGCCCTTTTTATTCTTTTGGGTTTTTCTCTGTAAAATTAGGAAAAAGATTGTGGTTAAATGGAGGTTTTCTCTGTAAGTTGCATGTTTCAAAAGCTTGTGGTTCTAGAGAGAGAAACATAGTTTTTTTTATTTTTTTGGATTTTTTTTTGTGAAATCAGCAAGAAAATAAATTTTTTTTTGGGCCCGTTTTATTCTATCTCCAAAAAAATGTGTTTTTAACGTTATTAGGGAAAAAAAGTGTTTTTTTTACTAACTTTTCAAAAAAAACATTGTTTTTAATGTTTTAAAAAAATCTCCGATTTTTTTTAACGATTTTTTGAAAAAATCGGTGATTAATCGCCGATTTGCTAACTATGGTTACAAGACACAAGACATAGAGGAAGAACAAAAAACTGAAGCATTAGAAAAAAATGACTAGCAAAGATTTGGAATTTGCCCGTCCTTTGGCTAAGGCATTTGCCGCTTCATTCACCTCACAAAAGCCACGATACAAATTAACATTGATAGAAGAAAAGATGTTCTTAATCTCATAAAACAAAACTCTAAGGCTCCGTGGAATATTGAATTGGTTAAGCACCACGCAATTCAGTAGTAGGAATCGAACTTGAGATATAATAGTACTCACATCTTATGATCACTCGAGTTACAACCCAATTTATGAATTATGTTCATTATATTTGAACTAGCTATCAAGCTAGTAAGTGGTTTGGTCTAATGATAATTGGTTTGATCGACAGTTGAATAGGTTAAGTTGATATCAAAAAAAATAAAAAAAATGAATAAGTGTATATAGAAAAAAATTCCCAGCTTCAAAGGGTAAAAAATGGATTGTATAACTAGCTAAAATCAGTCTAGCATCGACTTTAACTCGTTTTCAATCAAACTAAGCTTTTTTTATACCAGACTTGTCATGGCACTAGTAGCGAAAATGATTGGTCAGATCCAGTGGTCTAGTCCAATCTTAATAACTATTATGTGGCCTATTTTGATGAAAGTAAATAAAAGGCTCAAATTCTTTAAAACTATGAAAGCCATAAGATCCAATGTCCTTTTACTTGTACCTTCTACTTGTTGGTACGTGTATGTGGCCATGGGGCCTTAAAACGTGCAATATTTATCTATCTTATAATTTAATGTTTATCTCTAAAACAGGGAGGCTTCTTAGATAGATAGAGCGTCGTTATCTAACGGCTAGAAAGTAACCATCCACTTTTCAGGATTATAGGGTTACGTTTTCTCAAAGATTTCAGGAGGAAGAAGTAACCACCCAGTTTCCAAGATTACATGCCACGTTTTCTCAAATATTTAAGGAGGAAGCCGAACAGTGGAGAACGGCCTCCTCCATCCCTCTTTAAGAAGGGTTTCATGGTCATGGAGAGGGACACATAAATTTACAGAGTTCTCATACTTCTGGTAAAAGCCTGATCTCTGCAATCGATAGCCTCACGACACTGCCCCTGATACTGAGAGTGGGTCCTTCTCTTCCCTCAAGTTTTCAACATTAGTATCAGAGCCGGTTGTGGAAGAGTGGTGGGCTCATAACCTACAGATCCCAAATTCTATTTTTCGTTTTTATTAGTGTTTTATCCTGATTTTAATTTACAATAATTTTAATATTGTGCTTTGTCATTCACATATATGTTGCTGTAAATTTTTTGTTCTCAATTTTGGCTCTCTAATGCTGTCGCTTCATCCATGAATCACAATTGCATGAGTCATAACTTTTTCCATTGTTTACGATTTTTTGGTGCACAGTACTTTACTACCCCTATCTTGATGCCCATACATATTGGATGATAACATTATTGATAATTTAACAACCTTGACACTCTTATTGATAAAGTTATTGACAAAATTATTGATTCATTGATTATTCATATATATCTCTTTTATTATTCATATATATATCTTCTTTCCTTTTTCTTTTCGTAATCCTCTACTCTTAATTCACCTTCTTGCCTACGTGATTCATATATATCTTGTTGACTCATTGTTCTTAATTCGCATATATCTTATTGATAAGGTTATTGATGATGTATGATTCATTGTTCCGTATGTAGCAAGTCAGTGATTGATAAGTAGGAGATCTCGTACATATCTGGATAGATACTTAGCTCTTGCAGTGAATTAATATTTACCCAATATCTCGTACATATTTGGATAGATTTAGCTCTTGCAGTGAATTAATCTTACCCAAGCGCGTATATTTTTTTTTTGTGAAAACTCGTGCACATAGCAGCCACGCACCTTAACCACTTGGCCAAAGTGTAGTGGTAGTTCTCTATCTAATAATAAAATAAAATAAAATTAAAGATACAATTTGCTGCTGAATTTGAGAGAGAGAGATATAGAGTTATTGCTATAATTTTAGCGAGAGAGACAAGAGACACATAATTGCTGAAAATCAATTGGCTTGCATCTTTTCTTTCTTCCATATTTTATTGCTGACAATTAGTGCATAAAATTTATTGGATTATTGAAAATTGCTATGCACACAACAACTATTCAAGTAAAGGTTGTTATATCAACTGCATGATTTTTTTTTTTTTGTGACTTATAATTTAGGGATTGTTGACATATTTTATTTGCATAATAATTGTCACTGCATTGCATAATTATCCTATACTTTGGTCTCTTTAAGTTAAAAAATTTCATGATATTGATTTTGTGAATTTTTATTTTTTGTACGATTATGCAATGCCATGTTTTTTTGTTAAAAAATATCAAATATCATTGTAGACTCTCTATATTGTGCTAAGACATATTCACATATTTGTGAAAATCATTCTCATGCAAGACCTGATATAAAAGTAGTTGTTGCCTTACTTTATTAATTTATTGTTGCATCACAGCAGTGCGAACATAAACTGTTCGAGAAAATTTTTCTTTGAAGTTGCAACTCACTGAGAGTCGGCAAACTTATTGATTTTGCTAGCAGACAACCTTTTCTTAAACACAATTAAATTTGTTTTTGAATTTTTAGGTATTATCTAAAAATTTAAACTGGTATCTAGGCTAGTCATGTCAGAATTATCCAAACTTGAAAAACTCAATGGGACCAAGTTTTCTATGTGGAAAAGAAAATTTGGATATATATTTTTTTCAAGATATGGTAGATTATGTCATATAAACAGAACCACCAGTTTTAAAGCCTAATGCCAATGGTCAAGCCAGAATGCGACTTGAAAAATGGTTAGAAGATAACAATGTAGCTAGGACTGCTATGTTGAGCTTTATGGAATATGATTTAATTAGAGTATTTGAAGATTACATCACATCGTAAAGTATGATAAGCGTCATATCTGAAAAGTATGGGACCACTTCTAAGCCCCATGTAA